TGCAGCTAAGTGTAAATCATAACATTAACTGGACATATCCCTCAACTGACTGCACATTTTGCAAATGATTTAACAAAATTCAGCTATACTTACAGTAACAGAATCATGTATATCTGAACATAAACACTGTAAATAGAATTGGTCAGAATGACAGGGAAATTTAGTTAAACGTGGGGTTATCGACTCTGAACATGTGTCAGCACAAAACTGGTAATATAATACAATGTGTTTTACAGTTTCAATAGCCCCTTTGCCCTCCCTTTGCCTTAGCCCAAATGGGATTCCCTTGTATCTCCCTTTTAAGATGGCTGTAGGAAGGAGATAGAACTGAGCCAGGGAGAATGCCCTCCTATATTTAGGGATTGTGATTTGGGTTAGATATCTAGCAGATCTAAGGAGCTAGGCAGGAATATATCCTTGGGAAGAAATACCAGGTCTAACTGGATATCAATATCCTTAATCCACTGCCTAAGAGCTGCTAGTGCACACTTGTGCCAAAGTGTGCAAAGCTGAATTAAGGAAAATCAAAGGAGTCCAATTTTTGGTCTATTGCTTCAGACCAGGATGAAACAAAATTATTGATAAGAATCCAAGGTGTCAGACTTACAGGGACAAAGTATATTTTGGCCTAGTGTGTAAAAATGTGTAATCAAGCATTGGTCTCAATCCTACATTTGAGATACAGCAAGGAGCTTACAATATATTCCTAAGAAATTTAGTCTGAACTCTTTCTAAAGGTATGAAGGAACATTATGAACCTAACAGGACACTGAATAACAGCTATATTCTAACTTTGGCTGAGTACATTTGAATTACAGTGGGGATAGATAATGCCCCTTTAGTAAAGAAAAAGGGCTGCAGTACTGCACCAGCTCTCTGGGCACTCTGAGCTACATATTCCATATGCATTCTTCATGAGTCATGGGATGAAAGACTATGCCTAGATGTTTAAATAATCACCAGTTGAGCAGGTTAAATAATTTAAAGTCCAAATATGCCTTTTAAGCTGTTTGGCAAAGACCACCACTTTGCTCTTGTTATCATTAATTTCCAAAGCTTCTGAGACACAGTAATTGGCCAATGCTCTGGACCAATCAGGATCTGGGAAAGTAAAACTGTACTATCCACGTACAGTAGAATTGAAATATGCTTCTCTGCTAATTTCTGGGGGTGATGGGAAAGATAATCACTGCAACTAGTGTACTGATATAATAATTAAATAACAACAGGACAAATGACCAACTTGTTTAAGGTTCAAGCTGCTTATATGGGAGTAAACCGCTCTATCACAATAATGAGCAGGAGCTATAGTAAACTATATCCAAGAAAAATATTTGGTTTTCTCAAGCCTTTTCTTGACATATAACAAAATATATCCATGAAGAGCTGTATAACAACTTTCCACTGAGCTGCAGTTTTAGCCTTGCATCCTTCCTAGAAACACAGAGTAAAAAAGGGGGATATAATTACAGTAAACAAAGATGTAGAAGTGAATGTACCCAAATAAGCAGTTTTTGAACCAACAAGTAGACTTCTTTTCAATATTGAAAATATTATTCTTACAAATAATACAGAATAGGGTTTATTTTTAAGAACAAAGCAACTCTTCTGCATCAACATCTTGTTTTTCATTGTGGCTAGTCAGATGTCTATCACAGTCTATATGTAGGCAATAGCACTGCCTCAGCAATCAGTATTTGCTGAACTGGAGACAGTTTGCAGCCACCATAACTAATAGACACTGATTACCTTATCTCCCATGAGATCAACTTTTCAAACATCCAGGTTTATGATTATTTGAATATATATTTCTTTTTCTTTCTAACTTGGTAAGATTAATGGTTTTATAGTAATATACTGGATTCTGTGGGACCAGGACAACTGATTACATAGGCCTTGGGACTGATCCAGCATGGCCCTTATTTTTCTTTTGAGACAAATACCAAACAGTATATCTATATATTACTAAAACTCTCGTGTCTGTTTGTAACCTTTAACTGGGCAAGACAGTGTGTCATAGGGCAATAATTTTTGAACCAAGGTACCTCAAATAGGCTAACTTACAGAATGTGTCCAAAACCTGGGATCCATGATTCATGTGGAATTGAAATTTGGCAAATTTTATAAAACATTTTATGGCATGATACAAAATGTCATAAAACATTTCCTGTGGTTAACTCCTGATGTTTGACTGTGCTATACAGTTCAGTATAAATGACATGGGCTATTTTCAAGGCAGATACATCTCTGAATATCTCTCTGAATATCTCCTGAATTTTCTTAAAAATTTTTTTAAGAACTTTTCAAGGTAAGGCAGTACATTAGAAGCTCTGCCATTCCTCTGCACTGAAGAATCTGGTAAGGAAATATCTATGAAATGATGACCCAGCTGGTCACGGGTTGTCTAGTTATTTTTAAAAACAATAGTTCTACTTAAGCAAATATATTTATAAATTTACCCAAGTGCCAAAAATCAGAACAACCACAGCCTAAACCTTGATTTAATGTCCCAACATACACAGAATGCTGATAAGATATTCTTAGATGGCTCCACTATGATTGATATTCTCCATGGGGTTTGTATATTTTAAAACCTAAACTTTTTAAAAGATGTGATGATGTTTTTTATTTTAATAATAACTTTTTATATGCGTGTTTTTATTCACTTATTTTATTTTAATTGTTGTATGCCACCCAGAGTCACTTTGTGTGAGATGGGCGGCTATATACAATGTGATATATATCTACATCTATATATCTATCACACACACATAAATACACACAGATACACATACATATACTGTATATATAAATAAAATAAATATATATGTCTTCAAACTCATGAAAACTGGGAAGGGCTGCAAAAATCCGGACGATCACTTAAACGGTAGCACATACAGAAAATCCTACATCGTTCAGTCGGATTTTTGCTACCTGGAAATGGACCCTAGGTCCAGTATTTGTTTTATCAGGGCGTACGGAACCATGAAATAGATGCATAAACCGTATCCCATCACGTACCTTGCGTGTTCTATTAAAATTATTTTTAGAATTTTATGAGCCGACATCCCCTATATACAAAGCAAACAAGATATCGTTTTACTCTCTGAATAAATACACACTTCTGAAAACGAGAGGAAAACAAGCCATAAGACAGTTCATGGATAGCATAACCAGAGAAGAGAACAAAATACATAGAAAAGTAAAAATTGAAAATAAGTGGGAGGCAAGGCCTCACCTTTCTTTCGCAGTTTTTACGCTCTTCCCGGCGACGCTCGAACTCCTCGAAAGAGATTTTCCCTTCCAGATACTCAATTAATTCCGGGCTGAACCCTGACATTTTATATTCTACCGAGGAAATAACCCTAAACCAATACCAACAGCCGCTCCCGCGAACGGCGGGGGACCTATTTTGGAACGGACCACAATTCCTTCGCTTAGAAGAGTCCGACTAGGAATAAAGAGGGGACCCCCCCGAAGACCTCTATTGCGCATGCGTTCGCGGCTGGTATTGCTGCGGGAGGAAGCGCTGAGAAAAGCTTTCGCTTTCTTGTGTACTAGCGCTTAATATTGAAGAAGGGACTTGTCTCCTGCCTTTAAGCGGAAAGAACATCAATCAGATATTGTGATAAATTTTTATATTATGTCATACTATTCAGGGGAATTATCAGACAGCTCTATTGTAACCATCCACTTGTACCACCTTTGGATCCACCATTCAGTTTTCTCTGTCGAGAATAGGCGACTTGATGGTTTTACTTCTACTCCCGTCAGCCTCAGTCAACTCGGTCGACTACAGGGAATTCTGGGAGGTGTAGTCCAAAAAGGCAGCATCAGATCGTAAACCTAACCCTGCTCTGCCTCTTCTCTGAGTCTCTTTTGGTCTCCTGACTTCCCTCCAAGATAATGGCTGACAAAGTCTAATTATACATCTGGGGTGAAAAAGGAGATATATTTCCAAGGAGAGTTTTGATGATCTGCCTATTCCCACTTTGCTTCTGTGTTGACTACTACAAACGTACCAGTGATTTGCTCTGTAGTTGTACTTGATTTATTTTCTATGGGTCTTTCTGCACTACTGAGTTTAAATGCTTATCCTTGAATTTACAGAAAATATACAAGAATGAAACTTGCTGTCCCTATTGCCGCTCACTATCCTGTCTCTGTTGCCTCTGTTTCAAATCCAACACACCAGGTGTCATAGCCTAACAGATTTTATACAGTTTGAAGCCCCCCCTTGGATGATGTTTAAATAAGGGGAGAGGAGTGCTATTATATGAGACCCAGTTTGGTGTACTGGTTAAAGGCACTGGAGGCTGTGAGTTAGGCACAAAGCCAGCTGGGTGACTTTGGGCCAGTCACTCTCTCTCGGAAGAAGGCGGCAATGGCAAACCACTTCTGAAAATCTTGCCAAGAAAACTGCATCAATCTTGTAGCCCCTACAGCCCACTGGAAAGGCCATCTCCATCAGTTTTTCCCCGCTATACATCAAAAGTAGTGTTTTCCCACTTGTGCTGATGCTGTTCTACTGTGTTGTGGTGGTAATGCCCCTCCCCTCCAGTCATTGGTTGCCACCTATGGCCATTGTCTGCTGGGCTACTCAGTTGCTGGTCCTCTTCTGATAGGTCCTGGACCCGTGAACTCTGGGGTTATATGATGGGGGTGGGGGTTTCTTTTCTTTTATTTCCAGCCTGTTTATGCATGGGAGTCAAGCTTACTAAAGCCTGTATTTTTTAAAAAAGCCCATTGTCCATTTTTTGTGAGAATAAGGCTGGATGGAGCCAAGACCAAGAAGAATAACCTAAAAACCCTTCCTCCAGAGCAAGGCCACTGGATGAGGAACACTTCTGCCACTCGGTAGCAAATTTATTTTTCAGTTTGAGTACCTGCTACTTGCTTGTAGCTACCATGGATCATAAAGGTACATATGTTAAAAATGTTTGGTTTTGTTTTTTATTTTGAATTGACATTTTAAAAAATATAATTTACCCTGAAAGTGATTGAACATATAATATACACGCACATACACATTTTGTATTGGAGAATTGACATTTAATTCAAAGTTTTTGTGTATTTGTGACCACTGAAACATCTCAAGCTGTTTTTAATATGATTCCATCATTATATCATTTTGAATTATTACTAACTACAAAATTTGGCTGTAGATGATGTTTGACTAATAGTCACGCTTATTTTTGAAAGGAATCAGAATTGTAAGGGAGGCAAATAACTACGCAAAAAATGTTTCTGATTGAAAAAAAAATCCAAAATCAATTCATTTAACAATTTTATAAGTCTTAGAAACACAGATAGTTATATGTATTTACTGTTTTCCACAGAGCATTAATGGGTATAATTTGAATTTCTCTCTGTTTTCCTTTAAGCACATGCAACTAGTAAGCACAGAGCAGGCCTCAGATATCTGTAGGCAGCATCTGACATGAAAGAAAACTGGTAAAGAATGATTTAGAAACACTTTTCTGTAGATGCTTCCAAATAATCTTGCATCCTTAAGCAGTCACCTGTAAAAAAGAGAGAAGAAAGGAGGAGTATGAAAAACAAGAGTTTTAAGAAGATTAAAGGAGTTAGCTCATAAACCATGACTGTTAGTTTATGTTTCTTTTCCCTCTCTTCACTTGAACCTCTAGGACCTGTGTATTTAATGAATACAGCAAAAGTTCTAATATTTAAAATTTATGAACTATTCCATGTTCATACTAGAGGTTACTCTCAATTTTACTTTATTGTACTTCTGCTGGATCTGCTCCTTTAACCCTAGAGTCTCCTTTCAATAACCCTACTGTTGATCTGAAATCTTATGGACTTCAATCAAAAAGAAGTCATTTAATTTCCATATTTTCTGGGAAAAAATAGGCGTCAGTGCCAAGTATATTAAAGTTTTCTATGGATCCAAGACGGCAGTGCTACAATATAATTAGTAATGTAGACCTAAACTCCATTGGTGGATGCGATTTCATGGTAAATCTCCACCCAGTCCCAGTGTAGCCCAGGCTGGTTTGAAATGAACTTATTTCCAGTTAGAGACTTTCTAGCCATCCCTTTAATAAACCTATAGAGGAAAGGATGGGGATGAATGGGGCCAGTAGAGATTGTAGAATCTAAGTCCTGTACGTTGCTGCATACATTCCTGAAAATTTCCCAGGGCCCTGGAAAACATGGAAAATGGTGCAATGTAATTACACCTATAGTGGTCACTGGGTACCAGGACATTATTGTGTTTGACTGCAGGTGCATTCAGAACATGAATTTTGAGGTGCTCCTCAGAGTATTTGATCCTTTGAGCCTCATATTTTGTTGCCCAATCCCTCATTCTATAATCACATGTTCTCTATTACATCACTGGGGTAAAAGAGAAACTGTCAGGTTTTAAGCAAATATGATTTAGTGAGTACACAGAACACCTTTCAGAATAATGTGGGTGTTATAGTTTAATATTAGAACAATTTGATATTAATGCAAAACTCATTTGTGTAAAAACAGATATTCGTAAAATGCTACTGACTTATGTTTTCTGAGAGACAAAACCTTGGAGAGGGATTCTAAATGAATTCCACTGATAGATGAACCTATCACATAGCTCTGGAAATGAACCAAATTCAGATCAGGAATTGAGCCAGATTTAACACTGTAATGTGGGGCTGATATATAAGGAAAACAATTTAGCACTGAAGATGTTACCCAGTCAGGTAACGAAACATTTGCAAGAAAACAACCAAGCTCAGAGAACCCCAAGGACTCCACAGGTCAACCCTGAGCTACACATATTCTTCTTCTATTGAAAACAATTTACCTTGATCTAGCTTTTTCAGCTTCTGAGGTAATTTGGAAAGGGGCTTTTCTTTTCTTCATAATCTGAAAATGCAGAAGCAGCTGGTTCCAAGTAGAAAGAAATTGGATTTGATTTATCATTGTTCACTGAGAAGGTATCTGGGAACTTCCCGAGTGCAAACTGTCTCCCAGAAAAGTAAGCCATAAGAGTTCTGAAAAACTGTATGAAAATTAAGATTTTAGAAGGGCGAAGCAGTAGTCTCCAACAAATATTATCTCCACTCATCCTATTTTGAGACAGTTTAATCACACCATTTTGTTTTTTGGTGACCCACAACTATTTCACACAATGCAGTTTGTGCAAGAAGCACTGATTTATACAGTGTATAAATGTGCCCATGTATCACTTCCAAATTTTGGATAGTCAGACACTGATTGAAGATCTATTTATGTGAACCAAATAAATGTTATTTCCATCCACATGTTTGGTCTTATCACTAATTAATACAGTAATTGAATAAAAGAATCACAATGAAAATAGCATCTTACTTAGAATAGCTACTAACTGCTTGTTATTTAATAAGTAAAGTAATACGTTGTAAGATTATTTCAGTTCAATTTTGAGGTGCTCCTCATAGCCTCATATTTTGTTGCCCAATCCCTCATTTTATAATCACATAGCACACTACTCTTCATCAAGCAGTTGTTAGACATTAATCAAAGAAAAATAAGAAAAGTGTCATATTGTTCTAGCACATCTGAATTGTGATACTACACTAGCATAGATGAATTAAAAACTGCTTACACTATACAGTTAGATTAATGCACACAAGCAAACACAAGTTTAGACCAATCTTGTTCAACCAACCACATTCCAGATGTGTTAAGGTGCCATCTCCAGGAATTCTCAATCACCCCAAATCATTGTCTCTTTAAGAATTAGAACTCTGGGAGTTGTAATCCCAACATATCTGAAGAATACTAAGTTGAGGGAAACTGGTATAACAGATCATTCCAAAGTTTTCCTTACCAGATCTCTGTTCCTGGGGTTATCCAAAGATTTCCATGTTTCTTCAGGCCTTAATGGAGTTCCCTGAGGCAATTCTGTTCCCATCAGGGTGGTACACTGAACCAAGATCAACAATTTCCACATGCTGGAGAGATTGGCAGACTGAGGACAGATAGCAACAGATCTAAAGATTCTATGCACAAATGATCAGGGTAGGTTTTAAGCAATTATGCAAGCAGGTTCATGCATTTTTTCAAGCAATAATTAAAAGAAGCTCTGTAGTATTCATTTGTAAGCAATATAGTTCTACTCTTGCTTGTTCAAGCTTCTATTCTTAAATTACCCCATGCTATCCCTAAGCTGAGTAATATGAATGATTCAGAAAAAAAAATGAAAATACTCCAGTTGTACAAATCTATGGTTGTTTAAAAATAAAGCCTTTTAAAAATAAAACTTACCAGTAAATATTGGTTCTCCCTTCTCTACTCAGCTGCCTAGTAACCTCCAAGGAAAGTTGTATCTCCTACTTACAGCTTTAAAGAAAATAATGGTCTGCAATTGGTGGTGACTCACAAGTGGAGTTTCAAAAGGCAGTAACAGATATATATACACCACCCCACACTTATTGACTCATTATCCAAAGTGCATTGATAGAGCCCAAAATGATAAAACACTTCTGCCTCACCTGTTATTTCACTGAGTAAAAATCTGTTACATAATGGAATAGGAGCAAGACAGTTTGTTTTTCCCGTCATGGACAGCCCTTTTCCAAATGAGTCTTCTGACAATGTTTTGAACTTCAAATCCCAGATTTTGTTCACACAGTCCACATGGCAATGGGTTTTAATTATTTTGTTAGTGGGCTTTTTGGGCACCTTCCTACCCACTACCCATTTTTCATCTGAAAAAGAAAGAGGAAGGAAAAAGAAAGAAAGAAAGAAAGAAAGAAAGAAAGAAAGAAAGAAAGAAAGAAAG